TTAGTTCTGACAAGGTTCGGCCAAGTGATCATTAGCTTTCATTCCTTCATTCCAACGCCGATTCGCATATTCATTGGTGTCTGCGTCAGCCTTTGCCCATTCGTTTCAATTTCAGTATATATTCTGCCGTAGCTGCAACCATCGCGGTTACACGTTTGTCGATCAATCTTTTCATTGTTCGTGAAAATTGACGTAAAGTTATAAATTGCTTTCCTACGATCCATTCTTATACTTAAGAAGAGAAAGAACCAATATACTTTCACCAATAACGTCAGACTTGCAGCCTACAAAAGAAAATGATATTTTGCACGCAAAAAGATCAAGAAACAACGGCTTGATTAAGAAGTCTGTTATTAAAACAGCAACCTATATAGCATTTGTCTGCTAACACATGAGGAATAACGTTTCCTTTTTCATTCGTTACCCTTATTAAAGAAGAAAGCGGTGAAATTCCGAGTTAGAAATGCTCAGTAGAACGAAGTAATGGTCTCTTGGTAAGTGAGAAATTCTGAACTCTGTTCGCCTGGCGGCGCTTAGAATTCTACGAACGCGCCTTTACTTTAACCAGACACAGACGAAGTGAATAACAAAGTTTTGAATATCTTTACTTGAGGTAGTAGAGTATAGTTCATCATAAAGCGAAACCTGTCCTCCTCCTCACTGACTACTTAACTTAATGTTAAATGTAATGCTACAGATAATCTTACGAAAATTGCATAAAATGTTGACGAAATACAATTTATTTTTGTCTATCCGTTTTTTCTTTTATTATATTTTATTATTATTATTATTAATTTCGTCACAGAAATAAATTCTAAGACTAAACTCTTAAAAGCACTAGCATCTAAGGCTATCGGCTTTTATTAAAAACTCTACCGCACTTGAGATTCGAACCCACGACCATTGACTTGCTAGTCGAGATTCTTCCCCTTCGGCTACTCAGGCCGATTATATATTATATTTTAAAAAATCTGTTGTTGTCTGGTTTTAGTTTAGATTAATTCGGATTAAGTGTTGTAACTAATCGAATTCTAAGTATGTAGGTAAATACGGAATGGAAATTTGCACTTAGATAGCCGTAACGCCACCTACGGAGAATACAGATATTTGAAGTTGTGTTTTTTATCTACCGTGGATAACAATAAGAAGTCGTGATCCCAACACAAATCGCAATACTTTTTCTAATAATGAAAATTTTGAGTTTTACACTTTCGCTGGCGGCATTTTTTCTTCTCCGTATCGTTCTTGCATCGTAACGTAAGAGAGGATGAAAAGTGGATTTATGTAAAGGATAAGCTCCGGGCGTACCATTCACATAGATGGCGAGACTGAAAAGCTTTGTCAGGGACAATATATTTTGTATTTGGTGAGTCTAGAAGACTATGATCTGCCATTAGCTTTTAAAGTCTGCCACAACCCCCTCAAGAGAAATCAATTGTTTTGAATCGCGCGCTTTACAAAGAATGGTCGAAATATTAAAAAAAAAGGCAACAAAATCTCATTTTTTTTATATGCCATCCCTCCATCCATCCATAGGCAAACTCGATTCGTATTGTGTTGGAAGGGCTCATACGGAAAATGCTGGCCCATGCAACGAACTCATCAAACATGTGCCCCACTGAGTGTCACCCTGAGCAGCGCTTCACTTCTTACAAAGATATACAGGAATGTGTGAAAATGGTTTGATGAGTAATTTGCCTCGAAAGAGTAACAGGCTGATGGAAAAATATATAGCTAGCGCTGGATACTACATTGAACAGAATGTTGTTGTCATTGTCATATATTAAATTTTTTGTTTAAAAAATTCCGGTTCCATATTTACATATCTAGTATTTTCACTAGAGCTTATTTTATAAATTTATTTAACTATCATTTAACTATAGCTCATAGGACGCTATGTGGCGAGTCAATCTGTTTTCTTATTAAAATAATTTAAAATTTGTTATAAGTTTTTAATATCATTCACTTGGCAAAACCGTCGATGTTTTTGTTTCAAATCCTTCGGTTGTCTGTTCTGTCTGCCAATTTTATGCGTTATATATTAGTTTGGGGAAAAAGAAATCCATTATTTTTATATGAACTTCAGGACTTTATTTAACATGCTTCGGATTGTCCGATTTGGGTCAAATATGCACCGTTTTGTTGTATGAAATCTATCAGTACAGCCATCTACCGAAAAAATAATGGATTTCTTTTTCCCCAAACTAATATTATAATGCATGGCTTTCCAGCACTCTTAACATCATTCAAAGTATTACCCCATTTGAAAATTGATTAAATTTTAAGTTTAATTTAACCTACAGGAACTTTATTGTTTATTCCATAAAAATGGCACTGTCTACGAAGTCCACATTAAGCGTAGAAATTTATTTGGAATATTTCTATAGCCATAAATTTGTTTTTGATTTTACGGCATATGTTATTTGCAAGAGGTTCCTGATAACAAAGAAGTAGATAGACACTATGCAGTTGAAAACAATGTGAGTTGTTGTTTGCGCATCTTACACAGATAGAGATTGACTAACAACTAATAAGAGATTTTTCAAATGAAAAATGCAATCATCTGAAAATCAATAACATCTTTAAACCAACGTTCATCGCTGTTCACTATAGTTGAGTATGCTAACTCAGTTTTTGCATTCATCACCACTTGTGACAGCTGCATATTAACTTTGTGCAGATGCGGGAAGGGCCTAAAATGGTGTATCTTTAATTATTTAGATCAAGAACCATTTTTGTATTATCTTTCCAGTGCCGATAAGTGTATTCTTCTACGATTTATGACATTTTTTAACAAACATCAGGTTGGCTCAAGCACGAAGGCTATTGAAAATTTATTGGATCAATTCGCTGTCGGCGTATGTTACGGTGATGGTTGGAAAGAAGTAGGGAGACGGCGATAGGGGGTAGTCTCAGCTTAGGAATGAATCCGTAAGCGTTACACCTTTATCGAGTATTCACTGCATTTACAACCACAGATTATTCCTATGTTAAGTAAGGTCTTCTACCCTGAGGACTGAGTTCCTTGGGTTTGCCAACTTGGTTGTCATGTTTCTTAGCTCTTAGGCTACGTGGTTAACCTTATATGATATATTAAATAAATGTGAAAAATTTCCCCCTTAAGGCACCACTCTTTTCAATCCTTCCCTTCGTAGATATTTTCGCAAAAAATTAGTCCCTTTTTGCATTAGTAGGAAATTAAATTGACCTAAAAATGCACTTTACTAAATTCGAACAACATTTATCTTTTTTCAAGTCCTCTCTCCCCTTTTTTTAAACAAAACAATTAGGTTATAAAGAATTTTGGACGAGTCCGTTTGATCCTTTGCACCCTCTCCCATATAAGATTTTTTTAAAGGATCAGATTAGCGAAACCTTTCAATTGTGATAGGCGAGGTTACATCATTCAAGTTTATGACTTCTGCGGATAGCAATGAGAATTCAAAATTTCATAGAGCCCAAGCAAACTTTTCCATTATTCCGTGACATCCGAGGCGTAGTATGTAGGAGAGCTACAAAGATCACTGACTGCGCATGCATTGGTTAATGTGCCACACTCGCTTTACTACTTCTAATATTTTCTTAACATAATTGCGCAGTAAAAACGCTGCTTGCACTTTACTGTTACTATTATAAATAAGTAATTAAGAATACTGATAATGAGAAGACACAGCGTCTAGCATGCTACACGACCGTTAATATTGTGAGAGTTTTTTGTTTACTTCAATACTGTACGTTGATCGCTGTCAGTAATGATATTCAATAATGATGATGAGGAGTTCGTAATACGTTCTTCGAATCAATTGAGATAGAGAAGGCGAACTTGGAGCTTCAGACGCTCTGCTTCGTCGTCGTCATTGCTAGTTGGCTGAGTTTCCCCTGTGACCTTTTGAAACTAAGATCGAAACTCCGTCATCCATTTTCAGCGACGATCGATAAACTTCTTTTTATTCGAATTAAATAAGAAATAAAACGCTTTCTACTATGATTCGTAGATAAAACTTTTTAGATGTAGATCTCTGTAAATCTCTGAAAGAATGGTTGATTTTTTCACTCTCTTCTTGCTTCTTTAGCCCGATGAAAGTGTTCAGTGGCAATTTCACACTCTTATTCATTTCCTCTTCTCTTTATGCGACCGTCCACACCCCGGATGCCCCCTGTACGTGTAACAAACTGATGATCAGAAAAAAGTTAGAAAAGAGAAAGTGGTAGGAGAGAGCAGCCGCAATTAAGCGGGTACGTACGCAATCGGCAAGTGCAAGTAGGGAAGGGAAGAGAGTAGTTCAATTGGTACACATAGCTCTAATCTGCTCGGCTATGCGATAGCCCCGCAAATTAGATGTGCCAGCGCTCTTTTCGTATTATAGAGCAAACACTTCTTAATAGAAAGCCATTTATGTAATTTAGACGACCTCCCAAAAAGTATTTTAAAATATTTCAAATAAAAGTAAGTAATAATATGTACATTACTTTCTTAACAACCCAATCTTAGATCGCACATCTGCATACGTGTATCTGGCTGTTGCGTTTCAAATGTTTAAATGGTTTTATTTTTTGGTTTTGACTTGAAAACAACAACCATTTGAGCCTAAAGCTAAAACCAGACACTGAACACGCACACACTTACACGTAATTGTATACAGCCGCCAAACTATCAAAATGTCTGTTAAAATTTGTGTTATTATCTGTGTAGAGGAAAAAGTCTATCGTTCAGACAATTATATGCAAAGCAAACCGTTGTTAATCGTAAACTATGGCAATTGTGTCAAAGTTACACGAGAAAATAAAAAAAAAAACTTTTCTGTATGTATGCATTTGTATTTATTCGCACATATCGGTTTGAGTGGGTGTAAAAAATACTTAAAATCGCGTTGTTGCAAGTTTTGTTCAAAATAAATTTAAAATACATTAAAAGAAAAAATATCATTAATAAAATACAAACAAGAAAATAGAAAAAAAAAACCGCAAGAGAATTTTGTGGGTAGAAATGAATCACTCACCTGATTCCTGATATTTTTCAATTAATCGCCGCTGTAATGAAATTTAAAAGAAAAAAAAAAGAAAGAAATTTCAAATGAAATTTATTTCTATTTATATATGTATATATGTATTAAATTTCTTTTATAATAACCCTCGCTGGAAAAGATATTTTAAAATATTTTATTTACAAAGTGATTTACACTCGTGTCTTAAAAAATCCATTCCCACCCACTATCTCAGCCGCATGTCTTTAAATTATAAAAATTTTTATTGATTATCGAGTTTTTGTCCAAAAAGTTCATCGTTTTGTAATTAACCTCACAACATTACTTGTCTTTACATCTTAAAACTGATCTTCGAGCAGAAAGACTGAAAGCGTAGTTCGTGGCAGTAGACAATGCCTTGTATAAACTATCATTCAACTAGCATTCAATTTTTGGCGGAAACTTCCACAAAAAGCTTACAACCTTCTCAATACATTCTTTTAAGACACAATCTGCTCCTACTTCGAATCATTCATCTGTGGTCCATATGTTTGCAGGGGAACTCAATTCTGATCAAGAGATAGAAACCAAAGATAATAAATAAATCGATCGAATTATTCCGATTGCATCTAGATTCAACAAACACAAGGGACGGACAGGCTTTTCCACCTTAGATGACTTAAAATTTTACGCAGACGAATAGAATAACTTAAGCAGCAGGTAAGCAACAGGCTTTAAATTGAAACAAGGTACAAGAGGCATAGTCGGCTACGACCGGCCATTCGTTTAATGCTTCATTCAGTTCTTCACAACGCCTTTTTACACACAACACCACTCATGGTACAGGATATATTGAGTTTGCACGGACGCGTGTAGCACTTAGATGGGCTTAGGATGGACCTGCAGTTTACTATACCGATTGACTGAGCGTCATTACCTGAATCCATCTAGACTTATAGAACCCAATTTTCGATTGCACGAGACAAAGTAGTGTAGGGTATCCAATAGTCGGGCTTGCCCGTCTGTAACGACCTTGTGTTTCATATATAATTTTTCTCAAAATAAGACTTTATATCGAAGCAGTCGAAAAAGTAATTTGATCCGAATCATTTCAAAAAGGAGTTCCTCTTAGGGTGAAATCACGCCGACGCAACAAACTTCACTGAAACGTCTTGAAAATTGTGACTGGTAAGTTGAACACAAAAATACAAGGATAGATCTTAGACGGACAGGCAGACAGATAAGCTTAAATAAATTTAAAAAGTGATCGGTATAATAAAAGGTGAATCTATCTCAATTACTTATGGGTGCTGTATGCATAACTGAATAACGATGAAATAATCACAAATCTAATAAACATTTCAACACTGACCGCTTTGACGAAAAGTATAAGTTTTGGTGTGCAAAAATTGACAGTTAATTTATTTTAAAGTTAGTTGTGATGTCAGAAATCTGGTTTCAAAATTTTCTGTCAGAGTAGCCATAATATAATTGCTTATATAGGTCATAACATTTACGATCATACATAACCCAATATATTAAAGTTTAAGTACAATGTTAAATAAAAAATAATTCGCTTCAAAATTGAAATGTTATAGCATTGACGTCATTTTGCATCACAACGCAAACAAATGTTCTAGCATTTACGTCTGCCGCTGTGTTAATAACCTTCAGCTTAGGCTGAGAAGGAGAAAGAGAAAAAAATATTTAAAAAAAAGATCATAAAAATAACGTGTTCAATTCCCTTAAAATTTTAATTGTACCGTTACTATAACTCGGTCTGTAGGGGAAAGCGTAAGCAACACTAAACTCTGAAAACAAATAACATCAGTCGATAAGTCTGCGATCTGCCACATGCATGGCAAAACTGTTGACCGACCTGTATAATTGCTGCGAAGTACCAGCCTCCAAACCATATGTGTCAAAATTTCCTGGCGGTCCGTATATTAGTTTACAAGTTATAGTTGCTTTACTGACACTGCCTTTTTTGTTTACTTTGGACGGCTTTCGCCGCTTGCCTTCCACTCGACTGACTCTGATGGGTACTAATTCTTCCATTGCCATATATCGCGTGCTTCCCTAAACGGCACCAAATCGCACTCCGTATTACCGACAAGTAGTCAAAAGTGCGCAAGCGCGGCTTTCTCATGGACATGTATTCATGCAAGACACTAAATGCTTTACAATAGAAGCAACGGCTACAGTATTCGTTTCTGTCAATGTCTTAAAATATGTCTAATGATTTAATCTACATCCCCTAAAATAATTAATAGTCTTTTTACTTTAGAATATTAGCACAATTTGCTGTAAGGGTATGAATGCCAATCTTCAATTACTTATCATAAGGAATTTTTACGAAATTTTTTTTACACAGAAGAAGGAAAAGCGAAAAATGCTAACTAACCAGGACAGCGTACCAAAGCAATCTTCTTCGAGAGTGCTTCTAAAGTGACCTTGAAGCTATGGAGTTTGCTTGCACGCAAACCTTTTTGGCAGAAAAATATTCTCCACAGTCGTCTAACATTGTCAAAACACTAAGAGTCACATTTAGAATACGTTGCAACTATTATTATTTTCCGTATCCGTTCCGGTGTTGTGATTGAGGGCAGATCAACTCAAGGTTTTCTAACTTGGTTTATAGGTGGACAAATTATTATTTATATCTATTTGCTTCAAAGAAAGCCAAAGTTTTAAGCAACAAGAACGCCCAAAATGAGGACGGCTAAACCATTCGGCAATTTCAAGATCTTAGGTATATTGTAACATGTTACTCAATAAGTACATAGCATGATATATAGAGAAGAGATGTGACTTGTAAACTAATCGTCAGAATATCATGAAATTTTGATACGTATCGTTTGACGGTTAAGGCCGTCTGAAAATCATATGTATTTGTCATTAGTGCCGACATCATCCTACGAACTTATTGAGGAATGTATTTTTGTAGATTTGTGTATTTGTATACAAAAAGAAGATTTCTTTGTTTTACAAACGCCATCTAAAAACAATACAGATTCGTCGTATAGTGGCCGTATCTATTCATTATCCTACGAACTTGTTAAATAAACAATGTTTGTTTTTTCTTCGCTTCACTAATAGAATGACAAAACTTCGGTGGTGGATTATATAGAAGTGTGACATGCGATAGGTCAATATTTGTTTATTCTAAGTTTAAGTTAAGCTAATGTGTTATATATTTAAACAGATGTTTTTGCCTTTTATGCCGTTACACATATTCTAAAGTATTTTTTACAGTCATTTTTGCATGAATAATCTTTGTATTGATTCAGTTGACTGTTGTTAGATTTAAATAAATTTTACACTTAAAATAAACCTTGACTGCAATACGCTTTCGTTGCTATATGAAAACTTATACATACGTATATGAATAAATGTATTGGTGTTCATTAAATAATGCACATTTTAAGCACTCATTTACAGAGGTGTGCGTTTTAATGTCATAGTATTAACTAAATAAACTATTACACATACACTGCAAACAATATAAAAAATTGTCAGCTAAAGTTCACAGGTTGAAGTTTTTTTTTTTTGCATTTTATAAAGCAATATATATATATATATATATAAGCTTTCGATTTTTCGAATTTTCAAGTTGTTTGTATGTGTATGAAAATTTAAATGTATTTTTTTTTTTTTTTTTTTTAAGTAAAGGAATAATATTTACATTTTAAAAATTTTAGATAGATTTTCGCGAAGATTACGTATAGTTGGAATTAATTATTTTATATCGACTTTTTATGCAATAAATACAATGATTAAAATCAGCAAATTAAGTCAAACATTAGGAGGGGCACAGTCTTAAGTGCCTATGACGTGTGTACGTGTCATTTCGAATCCTCGTTTTGGTGGGTTTGACGTGTATACTCGTGACGCGATGTAAATAAGTAGAAACGTTATATTGGGACAGGCAACGATATTAAATACCCTACATCACTTTGCCTCACACAGTTATCCACCTAACGGCTAACGACAAGTGCTTGGAAATATGGTTCGTTCCGAATTATTTCCTTGGCTCAAAACATATCGATGCATAAAATTTTATTAAAATATTATAAAAGTTGCGGTCTGTAGGAGGAATACAAGAACATAAGACTGGCAGACAGACGGACAATTTTCAAAAAGTGATGCTGAATCAGTTGGCATAATAGAAGGTGGGTCTACCTGAAAACCTTCGGCGCGTTGCATACATCTACACAAACTTAATACAACCTTATAACATTAGTAGTGTAGGGTATAACAAATAAAACACGATAATGAAAATACTACAATCATTAAGAAACAGAAATTGTAAACAGTTTAGTGCAAATAAGATTCTCTTATATAAAGTTGTTTTCAATCAATCATATTGAACGCGTCTCCTGTATGGGGTAAATGTGCTCTAACTCACATCGCAAATTTTGCACACATGCCAAAATAAATTAATGAAAATGATGTTAAACTTGCTTATGTACTTTTCCACTACAGAGTTGCACAAAATAAATAACATGGTTCGACTGCAAACACAAATTCTCAAATTACATATAGCGATGTTTCTAAAATAGGGCATTGTATGGAAAGGGGTGCGATTCAATCCAATATGAATTGTCTTTGGGCCAAAACTGTTAAATATTTGTGCGTGTATCGAATATCATCCAAGTGGTTTAAGAAAATTGTGCGCGAACATATATCGGACAGCTGGACAAACCTGCTTCAATAGATTATCATAACAAAGTCGTCTTTCAATCGATTATAATATATGCCGGTACATTATGGGGTAGGGTAACTCCGCACTCTTAAGCCATATTGAAAATTTAGAAAGTTGCCCAAATGCATTACTGAAAGTGGTAGTCTATTTGCCCAGGGTGTTTTACAAACAAAAATATCCATATCAAATTGTCACTTAGTCAACAAAATTATTATCAATCAACCTTTTATACCCTAAAGTGTAACGTATTTTACAAGCCACTCGGTCATATTTAACTTTAAAACGGAGGATTTTATTAGGTTAGCCGAAAAGTTCTGTAATATTTTTGTTTAAAATAAAGCAAAGTTTTTGAATTTGAAGAGGTTCC